GTAGGGGAAGGGGAGGGGGCTAGAGAGGAGGGGGGGTGAGGGCTATGAACACTGAGCGGCCAATAATGTGTGTGTGTGTAAAAGTACTGGCGTATGTGTAAGTTTCTCTGTCTGCCATTGCTCATATGCACTGACGTACACACGTGCATTCAGGGAGTGCGTGTAAGTGACGACCACAAACCCATTCACGTAAACCCTCTTTAACAGCTGATGGGACATTTAATCAAGCTTCTCTTATTATGAGAAATTACTTTCTCCAGAGTAAGAGGAGCCTTTAAGAGTCACCAGTCGTAGTTCTCCTACCTGTGCTCAGGTTGGCTTCACTTCGCTACGATGCCTGTGAAGCTAATGGTACACTGACTAGCAGGACTTCAATCAGTTCAGCCTAGTTATGCCTTGTTAAGTACGTGTTGCGGCCTGGCTGGGACCGTATCTCCGGGTTTCATTGTCGGTCTCACTTTTCGGGTGGGGGGAGGGTTTTGATGTATAAATAATCATGTCCATCATATAAAAAATATACATCTGATGAATGAAACCTGAGACAGAACAACTAACAGAACAGTTGTGGAAAAGTCAGGAACAACGAGGTCGACGTTTATATGCATGATCGACCGAAAAGCAAGAGTCCATTCTGTTGCGTCGAGGGACATCGACAAAAGTTATTCCAACATCATTCCCTTAAACCCCGAGGTACGTCGAGCCTTAGGCCTCCGTGCTATTATGCCGCGTCACCCGAGCTGAGTAGCTATGCCGCTGTAATGCCATATTATGTGTGTATTCCTTAGCCTCGATGGCATTACGAGCGGACTGTAGCCTCTGTGATAGATACCTTTGATGTTACCCTTGAGCTCTGGCCTCCCATGACGTCATAAACGCTATCTGGTGAAATATCCATATTTACAACTTCGTTTACAGCATAGTCATCATATAACTAACCACGGTCTTGAGCTTTAACTATGGTAACATGCACACGTAACACATATGCTACCGTTAATTATTGACATTTACGACGCCACTAACGGGTCTGAGCTTTGATTCTCATGACATAGTTGTAACTTTGACAGGGATCGGATGTGACGTCACATATAGGGTCCCTGCCATTACTGATCTACGTCACTGAGGGCTCAAAGGGTTGATCACTGGACACCCATTATATTTTACATACAAAGCTGTTATGCCAATCATTACTAAGCCAAGGTATAAGTGAGTTTAAAGCTGTAAATGCTCCATAGAAAAAAGGAAATGTAACATCTGAAAAAAATATCCGGGTTACAAACAACTGGTCTCGAAAAAATAACATGTTAAGAAGTGAGGACACCTTCACCAACACCCAATATCCTTATACACTATTTCAGGAGTATTTTATTTACATAGCTTAAAGCTGTTTACCATATTCCAGGCACTTTCATTCTAGTGCTAGTCGGGGGAGTAACTATTCACAAGCTTTATAAACACAATACATAATTTTATACAGACAGGTTGCCTTCTTGCCTCAAGGTTGCGCCCCACTGTTCACTCGGGCTCCTCAAGAACCGCTGCTGCCAATTGTTGCATCATTTACAGTACATCACTTGCATCACACATATATGAACGATGGTTGCTAGTGAACAAGCTAACCTAGCCTTGCAAATATACACATAACCATAAACAGTCTATTGTTTTATCGGTATATTGATTATAGCCTCATTTAAGATCACTGATACTTTATTAATTTATCAACTGATCAGGAATATACACGAGGAGGGAAAGGCATTCTCACTAATTACTTATTCAGAACACATGTGCTCAAAGAATACACTCACAGTATAGTGATCAACTAATGCAGTGCATCCATGCATGCTTAAACGTGCCACCAACATTGGACTGGATGTAAACACAGTATTGCCTTACCAAAAAAGTGAATGGCAAAAAACCTTACTGACTATGAAGAGATGACCGTCTTTCCTGCATGTTCCTGCCTGACGAAGTGAGGTCTGAGGAATTCAGTTTGAACATTTCAAGTGCTCGTCTTATTGCTCCATCGCACACATCCCCCCAGGGCGTAGCCACGAACCCCCCGATGGGCATCACGAGGTTGAAGGAGTTGGACCTACACAGATGGAGGTGTGAGAAAGGCGGGGGATCGCAGGGCTGCATGCTCATGGACCTCCCGCGCTGCCGCCACGACAAGGCGGCTGAGGCGTCGCTGTCTTGGTTCTTGGTCGACGAATCATCCTTTTCAACCTCGCTGCTCTCACTAAGCATGCTGCCGATGTCACTGCTTGTAGACACGGACCTTGTGAATACACTTTTCTCGTCTTCCTCCTCTTCGTGGATCGCTGTGAGCTCCGCCATGCTCTCCGAGGACGACGCCTTTACGCTGGTTATCGTGCTCTTTTGGTCCTCCGCCTTTTCCTCGACCGTTTTATCTACTTCGTTCTCATCTAAGCTTGGAAAAACATCGGAAATATCACATTCTTGGTTCAGTTCATATTCACTGACACTATAAGCCGTTACTGTCAAGTCTAAAGTGTCTGAAGACGTATCGGTAGCATGGACAGTGTGATCAGATTCTACAGTGTTGGAGCTGTCCATGCTCTCGCTCCTGCTGAAGATTCCGTCATCAACAGGTTCTTCCAAGGAAACGTAAGCTTCGTCCATCTCCGCTCGCCTTTCTCTCGGCTCCGGTGCACTGCTTGCTCCACCCGACGTCGACCCTCTCGGAGACTTCTTGGGTTCTCTGAATGCGCTGCTTCTGGGCGTCGTTCTCTTGAGATCCAACTCTTTTACACTTTCTAGCGACGAAGCGGGAGATCCATCGCTGCTTATGGACTTGCTTTTGTTGACTTTTGGTTTCTTAGATGGTGATGTGCTTCTTAGTCTGTTGCAGACGTTAGTGTCGTTGCTTTTGGTCGATTCACAAGTTTTATTTTTTCTGTTCTTTTCACCTTGAGGCTTCTTTTCCTCCGCGGAATTTCGTCTCTTTGTGGTGGGTGTCCCAATCTTTCCAGAACCTCGACGTTCTAGCTTTTCCTTTTGTTCTTGTCTCTCAAGTCGTTCTTGCTGTCGTTCGTGTCTCTCCTGTATTCTTTGTTCTATGTGAGAAACGGAGCCTCGCCTCTTCCCTGGCGATGGCGCTCTAGCTGAAGCAGAAGCTCTTTCCGTGGATTTTGAAGTTTCATGTTCTACAGCATGCATCCCTCTGGTTGTCCTCTCCATACGCTGTTTATCCTTTTCACATGGATGTTTTTCCTTTTCCGTTCTCTGTTTTTCCTTTTCTGTTCGTTGCTTTTCCTTTTCTTTCTTCCCTTTGCGTCTGTTGTGTCGGTCTCGCTTCACTCGTTCTCCCCGGTTCGTCTTCGGGATCTTTGGAGTTATCTGAGGCTCCTGCTGACGGCTCGAGCGCGAACATCGCCTATCACAGACACTCGCGCCGCCGCGCTCTCCCTGGCAGCACTCCCGATGCCATCCCTCTGCCTGCGTTCTCCTCGGCCGCTCCTCCATCGACCGGCCTCGGGGCGGGCTCTCCCGATGGCTGTTTACTGCGGTGTTGTACCTGGTGATGAGATTGTTATAGTCCTCGTCGTTGATGGAAAACCGAGAGTCAAAAATGCCTTGTCTGTCGTTACCCGCATTGGATTCGGTTCCAACCTCGTCGATCTTGTCGATGGATGCTAGGCTCTTGTAGAGGCGTCCCGACATACCGTTTTCCTCCAGCATTGGCAGCATCGGAAGAAACACGTTGTTGCAGCTTTTGTAGATGGAGTCATCCTGGTTCAACCAACTGAACATCGACAGGGATTCCTCGGAGTGTGAGAATGACTTGTAGGACCAGATATCTTCCCTCGACCGCGACAGGCTCAGGCGGCCGTCGTAGAGGCGTTCCCGAGACTTAGAAAGCGTCTTTTTCTGGTTGGACATCTGCATCCTCTCGAAGAGAACTTCGCGCGACTTCGAGAGACTCCTCGCACGGTCCAGCGACTGCCGCGACCCCCCGCGGTACAGGGAATTCGTGGAGGAGTAGGTGGAATTGACAGCCGAGGACCGCTGGCCGCTGAGAGGGTGAATGGGCGGCAAGCCTATATCCCGGGGAGAGGAACTCATGGGCGTGAGAACGGTGGGCGTGGTATTGTTAGGGGTGAGAACGGTGGGCGTGGCGTTGGCGGGCGTGTGGACGACCGGCGTGTTACTGTGAGAACCATGAGATCTGTTGAAGAGATCGCGGGCGTCGGAGGTGACGATGTCAGAGAGGGCGGAGATGAGAGTCTGATTGGTGGGCGTGGAGCTCGTGCTGGGAACGGCGGAGCGAGGCTGGGGACTCGCCACGGGCGTCGACGTCGTCAAGGGGGACGTCGAGCTGGAGAGCTTTCGCGGCGGCTGCGGCGGGATCTTGGCCTTGCTGAGGTCGGCCTTCATCCACGGGTGCTCCAGGCACTCCTTGGCGCTCATCCTCAAGCTGCAACAACACGGCGAGGGAGGGATTACGTTCGGCAATCAATGGCAATAATGATAAAATAATGAGTAAACATAAACACATATATAACATATTCAAATGCATATACATTTACATATAAACGTATCTGAATATCTAAATGCATACATACATACACACAAAAACACCCACGCACATACACACATAGATATAATTTATATATACATATATAAATATGTATGTATATGTGTATATATACATACATATTTATATAGATATGTACACACAGATATCTATATCTATCTATCTATCTATCTATCTATCTATCTATCTATCTATCTATATATATATATATATATATATATATATATATATATATATATATATATATATATATATATATATATATATATATATATGCGTATGGTGTGTGTGTGTGTGTGTGTGTGTGTGTGTGTGTGTGTGTGTGTGTGGTGTGTGTGTGTGTGGTGTGTGTGGTGTGTGTGTATATATATATATATATTATATATGTGTGTGTGTGTGGTGTGTGTGTGTGTGTGTGTGTGTGTGTGTGTGTGTGTGTGTGTGTGTGTGTGTGTGTGTGTGTGTGTGTGTACTCACAGTATATACACATAAACGTATACTGCACATACATATACACATACATAACACATACATAATGTGTGTGTGTGTGTGTGTGTGTGTGTGTGTGTGTGTGTGTGTGTGTGTGTGTGTGTGTGTGTGTGTGTGTGTGTGTGTGTGCGTGCGCGTGTGTGTGTCCGTTCGTGCAAGCATGTGTGCTTATGTACACATCAGACCATCATTAAATCTATCAAGATCAGACAAACGCAGCATAATCCCTGATAAAAAATCAGTCTGAAGAAATGACAAGAAAAACCATATACACACAAAATAGACAAAACGAGAGAAGAGCCAAACTCGTGCGCCTTACTGGGGTTTCCGGATGAGGAGCTTCTTGATGAAGTCGATGGCCTCGGCGGACACGTCCTCGAACAGCTCCTCGGGGAAGTCGAGTTCCCCCAGCGAGATCTCGAGGAAGGTCTCCTGGTCCGTCTCCCCGCCGAAGGGAAGGAAGCCCGTCAGCAGCACGTAGGTCAGGACGCCGAGGGACCTGTGGGGGCCGCAGAAGGGAGCGTCAGGTCAGAGGGCGCCCTTGCTCTCTCTCTCTCTCTCTCTCTCTCTCTCTCTCTCTCTCTCTCTCTCTCTCTCTCTCTCTCTCTCTCTCTCTCTCTCTCTCTCTCTCTCTCTCTCTCACACACACACACACACACACACGTACAAATAAACGCCCACGTTCGTTGCCTCGACGCGCGAAAGGTGCAAGGCGTGCATGAGATTACGAATTGTTATTGACTGAATGCAAGCGCAGAAACTGAGAAAGGCACATTGCAAATACGACGCTTGATCTGAAACCCCGTTTAAAGGGTCACGTGATATCCCTGTCCTTATTTTTTCATGAATGACGGCTGATCGGTATTGACAGGAGGACTCTTCTTGTCACCTTCACGCCCATTCCGCCCACGACGCTCTTTTCAAGCATTTTTTTTTCCAAAGGGATGAGATTTCGACTGAGCGTGTGATGGTGTATATGCTCTGTCATCTGAGCTATTTATAGATATCCCGTTTGAGGCTTTCAGAAGGAGTGTTGAGTGTGACACGAAAATCAGTCTGTTTTGAGCCGAAGGAAAGGAAAATCGGTGTGGTCGAATCCTATTTTCGATTTGAATTTTCATTTTTGATGTTGGTTGGTTAGCCATACTATATGGTGATAGTGAATAATAATGAAACAGTGTATGGCCTGTGACAATCTATTTTCTCTTTACATTTCACGTATTCATTTTCCCGCTTTCTCTTCTCCTTCTTTGTAAGATAAATGTATAATAAAATTATATAGACGAAAAACGCTTTTAGTCGAGCAACACTTTGTGAATACATTAAACCAGCATATAAAGTGGATTCCTGGTGCATAAATTATTCAGATGGTCAGGGTTTTTTATATATAGCTCGCACCGTGGGCCAGGGCGTCCAGAAGAAGGGAGGCGAAATGGAAGCGGGTTCGTCATTTGCATGTTCCACGGGGGCGATTCAGGGCGATGCGTTGGGGCGACAAGGGAGGAGACAGAGAGAGGCGCGCACACAGACAGACAAGTAGAGGCGGGTCTCGCCGAAGGGCGAGGACAATGACAAAGACAGAGATACTAGTTGGTAGTGACGTAGAGTCAGGGGTTAACAGCGAGTTAATATATATGTATATAGGTGAGTATAATCTATATATATATATATTATAGCGGGCGCGGGGCGTGGGCGGGGTAGCCGGCGGGACACAGGCACCAGTTTACACACACAGACACGAGAGGCACATACAACACACACAGGCGACAGCACCACACAGCGAGGGAAGGGCGCACCAGCACGACACACACACCCACACACAGATATTATATATATATATATATATATATATATATATAATATATATACTGACGAGCGAGCGCACGAGCCAAAGGGGGAACGGGGGCCCCTGGGGCGGGGCCGGCAACACGACAGCACACACACACGGAGGACCACAACCAGCGGGCACGCGAGAGGGACAGACGCGAGCGAGACGCAGCACAGGCACACATGCCGGTACGCGCACGTACGAGTATATACAGATATGAGTAGGAAGTCGTTGTGTAGATACGGGGTACGGGGGAGTAAGGTATAGGGGGGTAGGCTACGAGGTGAGATAGGTATAGCACAGCAGCACAAAACAGGCCAGCACACCACAGGCACACACACACAGGAGGCGACACACACACACAGCACACACGACACCACACAAGACACACAACACGACGAGTGCATACACTCCTTACATATATATATTGTCGTTTTATAAACTATTAAAGCTACGTACTATATATATTTTGGTATGATATATTATTATATATCGTCAGTATACTTATGATCGCATTATTTATATTTTACATAACTATATATAATATTACCATATATATACATAGACTCATTATATATTAACCATATTTATATTTTATATATACTATATTATATTATATTTGTTATTATCTTCTACTTACATATATATTGTACTATTTTATGTATGTATCATTCTCTATGATTATTTATTCACTATTATATATTGTTACACCTATGTAGTTATTTATATTAACATATATATGCTATTATTCATCTATATTACATATACTACTGCTATATGGTTTTATTTGTATTGGTATCATGTTCATAACTATATATCTATATTACTTTATTCTTATATTATAGGTTTTATATTTATCATTATTATGTTTATATATATGTTTATATATGTTTATATATTGTATATACTATGTATATATATGTATATATATATATTATATATGTATATATATATTTTATATATGTATATATATGTATATATCATATATATATATATATATATTATATATAATATATAATATATTGTCTATATATTATGTATTTATATATATATATATACATATATATACATGTATATATATATATATATATATATATAATATATATATTATATATGTATATATATAATATACATATATATACATATATACATATATATATTAATATATATATATATATGTATATATGTATATATATATATATATTATATATATATATGTGTATATATATATATGTATATATATATATTATATATATATATATTTATATATAATATATATATCTATATATTAATCATATAGCGAGAGAGAAGAGAGAGAGAGAGAGAGAGAGAGAGAGAGAGAGAGAGAGAGAGAGAGAGAGAGAGAGAGAGAGAGGGGGGGGGGGGGGGGGGGGGGGAGATGGGGGGGGGGAGAAGAGAGAGAAAGGCGGGAGGGACGGAGAGAGAGAGACAGAGACAGATAGACACAAAGAGTGGACAGAGAAAGATGGGGGATCTTATGGAGGGAGGGAGGCAGACACGACAGACTGACAGACAGACGGAAATGACTGCAACCCCTCGGGTTACTAAGTTGTTCGTTGGCCAACAAAACACTTAACACGCGGGCGACACCCCTACAACCTCCTCTTGATCATCATGTTCGGAATAAGAAGCCTAGAATTACGAAACTAATTTTTCAACTCCGGCTGCAACATTTGCTGAAGGAACCGTCTATTGGCTTGACTCGCTAACTACGCCCTCCTCGCTAATTGTTACTGTGATTATAAGACAAATAATTGGGGTTGATGTTGTTGAGGGTGGGGGTGGGGGTTGGTATGAGGGGAGGAGACGGTGGCGGGGGGAGGGGAGGTGGAGGTGGGAGGGGAGGCGAGAGGGGAGGGGGAGGTGGAGGGAAGTAAGGTGGAGGTGGAAGGGGAGGCGAGAGGGAGGAGGAGGTGGAGGGAAGTAAGGTGGAGGTGGGGGAGGGGAGGTGGCGGTGGAGGGAAGGAAGATGGAGGTGGGAGGGGTGATGAGAGGGGAAGGCGGAGGGAAGGACAGTGGGAAAGGAGGTAGGGGTGGATATGGAGGGCGGTAGGAGGGGAGCTCCAGGTAGATGGGAGGGGAAGTGTGGGTAGGCAAGGGGAGGTGGAGATGGCAGAAGGGAGGTGAGGGAGGTAGGAGGGAGTGGAGGGGATGAGAAGGGAGGTGGGAGTGGGTAGGTAAAGAAGGTGGGGGCAGACAGGGCGAGTTGGAGTTGGAAGGGGATTGCCTAATTGGATCCGGAGGGTGGGATGGGTTGGGGGGGGGGGTCAGATGAGTTAACAGTGGTGGGTGTTTCAAGAGGCGTTCACAGAAAAAAGGGCGCCCGAAGGAAAGTGGCCTCCGTGAACGATGGACTGACCTCCGAAATGTCTGGGGGAGAGAGAGGCGTTGGGAAATGTGGAAAGTGAAGATGTAATGGAAGCAGAAGGCTCTCATAGGTATAGGTGGTAGGGGATCATACCTTGACAGGTAGAACCACAATGTATGAATATTAGGGTACACACACACATATATAGAGTCTTAGGCATCCACAAGCTAGGCCTGATTTACTGTATTCAATGTGGCTACATGTAATTGTACATTCAAATGTTTCCATTTACCCATCTGCATTTAATGTGACAAGAAAAAGACACATATAACCATGCATCTATCTATATGTACATATACCTGTCTGACTGTTTAATTAGACTGACATAGATGAATTGACAGCCAGAGAGAGAGAGAGAGAGAGAGCAGGTTGTATTGTCGACCAAAATGTTTTATATGCACTATTTTTTAACGAAAATAATCCTGACTTCATCTCATATATCACTGTTATTTGGAACTTTCTTGTTACAAGGATATTAAGACAGAGCATGATACCCCGCTAATTAAGATTCTGACAAGTGACAAGCAGTATAAGACAACAATCAATACTTGTCTCACATAGATACCACTGACGGTGTTCCCCAAGGCTCCATGTTAGGCCCAACCCTGTTTCTCGCTTGCATAAATAACACTCTAAGTGCTGGTAAGAAGTGCTCATTCATTTATTTTATCCAAGACGTTGTTCTCCATAATAAAACGTTCTTTATCATGCAGATTTTTTTTTATTCAGTCACTTGAGA